TCGCCAAGTAACAGAAGTGGTGGTGGTAATGATGAAACAAGAAAGGCAATATCCGGGATAGATAATGCCCGAGAAGGAGAGAGATACAAAGAACAGAGTGTATACCACCTATGCAAGTGGATACGGGCTGCTGTGTAATGCAGCGAAGTACGAACAAATAGCTGATGGTATGGAATATCAGTGCATAGAAGAAGGGCACTTTCATTAAAGGTCCCATCAGGAAAAGGATCTGATGAATACAATAAATTATAGCCTGAGATGGGATAGATAACAGCAGAGTGTAATTTTGGTTCCTGTTAGCAAACACCAACAGGGAAAAACTGGGAGAGCAACATCTGAAGCTCAACCCGATTACCCGAGGCCACGTATATTCCACTGTAAATAGGTCATGATTGGCAACGATAAAGATACCTGAAGTCTGCAGGTAAGGGTTCCTACTGACTAGAGGGGTTAGAAAAGTCCACATGCAGTGGCAAAGGAAAACGTTCAAGCAGCGAAGGAACGGTGCGCTGTGAAGAGAGGAGTTGCGCAGATGGAGAAGAGGAAATAGAAGGAACAGAGGGTGGATCAGTGTCCATTGATGGTTTGGTCTCAGCAATATATTCAGATTGCTTCAAGTGTTTCGGAGTTCAGAGACGTCGCATGGGAGACAATATTGGAGATGGAAGGAGGGGGAGTTTGAGTAAAGATCGGAACTGTAATGGACTGTACCATGGTAGGGGGGTGGGGGGCGAAAGGGTGGAGGGAGCTGGAGAAGTGTGGGAGGGGACAGAAGAGGCAGAAACCTGGGAGGTGGCAGAAGAGGAAGAAACTTGGGAGGGGACAGGGGAGGAAGGCACAGTACGCGGAGGAGGATGAACCTCCACACTTGTAACGGAGCCAGTGAAAGGGGAAGACCCAGGTACAGAGACCGGGAAGGTAAAATGTGGAGGTGGATGAAGGGAAGGAGGGGTTAAAGGAGATTTGTTGGACCTCTGAGAAGTAGAGGGATGATTGGGAGGAGGTGTCGTACAAGGTCTTGTCGATACCGGGGTTTGTGAGGGAGAACACGAAAAAGCGAGGACAGACTGAGGTGTTGAAGTAGGGACGTCTGAGCCCAGGACAGCAAAAGAATTAGATACAGGAGTGACTATGGGACTGGCAACCGCAGAGGAGGCTGCAGAAGATAGGACCCCAGAAATGGGGGGACGTTTTGAAACACGAGAATAAGAAACACGGGGTAGTCTCCCTTGGAGGCAGAGATGAGAAACTGCCATAGCATAAGGGGGACCTTCTGCCCCTCTGAAGCAATGAATTTCCCGCTCATTTAAGTAGACCTGGTAACGGCGAGAGTACAAAGGGTAAGCCTCATGACAATTAAGGCAAAAGGGAGGTCGACTGCAAGACGTATTAGAATGGTCATAGGCACCACAGACTGGGCATTCGGCTATAGATCTGCAATATTTTGTTGGGTGGCCAAATCGCCAGCAATTCCTACACTGTTCCGGTGTAGGGATCACCTTCCAAACTTGTAACCAATGTCCTGCTACATAAACAGAGGATGGGAGTTCACGGCTGTCAAAAGTTAAACGAGCCACATTACAAGGGTAACGTCTTTGCCCGCGGGCAGGAAGAACACAAGTATCTACCTTGAGAATTGGGAGATCTTGGAGTTCCAGCTGTTCGAGAATGTCATTGCCACATGTCTGGAAATTCTGTTGGACTATGGTATGGGGCAGAATAACAGTACCACTACAAAAATTGAGGGAATGATGTTTTTCGATAGTGATAGGAATAGTATCGATATGTGAAAGAGAAAGATCATGAGCTTGGGTAGAATTCTGGACTGTGATGATGCGCGTACCACTCTTAAGAGCATGAAAGGAAATATCTCTACCAACGTGGCGTAGGAGCGCTTTGCCAATACTATGGTCGGAAAGATAGGCAGTAGAAGAAGTCGGTCTTAAAGTAAAGAATTTAGTCCATTGTGTGGTCCGAAACTGAGTGTGGAGAGGGAGCGCATGAAGTGTCGGTCTTTTCCAAGTAGAATGGAAAGGTAATGAAGTAACATCATCAGGAGATTGTCAGTGGCATTTAGAAGTGGGACCAGAGTCGGCCCGACCTGGGACGGGCTGGCGATTCGAAAATCGCCGCACAGTAGAGGGAGAGGCCGGAAGCATAATCAAAGGAGAGCGGAGGTCAGACAAAACAAAGGAGTCAGTCGAAACCCCGGCACCTGAAGCGGGTGACGAAACAGCACCAGCAAGAGGTACAGGGGCCTTAGGAGTGTCCGAAGAGTGGCCAAAAGATGAGGCGAGGTCAGAACAGGGTGCGGTAACAATAAGGGGCCCGGGGGTAGCGGGGTCACGGATCGGGTACTCCATGGTTAGGTTACTTCTTTCTTTTTGTTTTTAAGAAAAAAAAGAAAGAAAATAAAAATAAAAAAAGAATAAAAAAAGGGGGGACCAGGGAGGGATAGTTCCTAGGAGGAATGAAAGGGCCAGAAATTCCCCTCTGCACCCAAGAGGACCTCAGCACAGCAACTAGCGCAGATGCAGCATGGAACCCGTGCCATACCCTACCCTTCATGCCAGTAAACCAGCAATCCGGGACAGCAACCTCACATCTGCCGAGCTACCTCGGTGGACAAAAGAGAGGGCGGCCGGATATCCGCCACAAAGCATACACCTCCTTCGGCCACCACCCCTGGAATCCGAAAGGTGGCTTCCAGAGATACACCCGTCGCCTGAAAGACACCCAAAGCCACCCTCCGAGATACCAGAGAGGGATCGGGTTATCCCCAGGCGATCCAGATTCCACGGCAAACTACACCACCGCCAAGAACCTCAACAGAATGGGATGGACCCCGGTACCCTTTCCCTTACCTAGGAACTAGCGCACCTGTGGGAAAAATCCCAAAGGTCAAAAAGAGGAAGGGCAAAAGGGAGGGGTGGGGAGGAGGAGGAGGAGGATAGAAAAAAAAGGGAGGATGGGATAGGGAAGGGGGGATTGGGGGGTAATTAGGATCGGTCTGAGGAAGGAGATCGACAGGTCTAATTCCTCAGACCAAGAGCCTCTTCACCACGCCAAGGAGCCCCCCCTTGAAGAGGGAAGCAACTCAAAAACTCCCAAATAAGTTTACAACTGTTTGATTAATTGTACTATTGTATTACTGTAAATTGCAATACTGATTATTTTTTTATATGCTACACCACAACTATATATTTTATTACTGTAAACCATTAGCTACCTCACTTTTGTAATAGGGAAAATAACATTTAAATTTACCACTCTTCATATGTCTAGTAATAAGCAGTCTGTAAGCATTAGGATTAACCTGCCTGATATGTCCCGGCTTGTAGCAGCTTTCTTTGTACCTAACAAGACATGTAAAATGTAAACACACATTGTAACCTTTGCAAAAAAATAAATTTTCTGTCTTTGTCTATCAACCAAGCTATACTCCCTGGAGTTTACCTGGAGAGAGTTCCGGGGGTCAACGCCCCCGCGGCCCAGTCTGTGACCAGGCCTCCTGGCGGATCAGAGCCTGATTAACCAGGCTGTTACTGCTGGCTGCACGCAATCCAACGTACGAGCCACAGCCCGGCTGGTCAGGTACCGACTTTAGGTGTCTGTCCAGTGCCTGCTTGAAGACAGCCAGGGGTCTATTGGTAATCCCCCTTATGTATGCTGGGAGGCAGTTGAACAGTCTCGGGCCCCTGACACTAATTGTGTTGTCTCTTTAACGTGCTAGTGACACCCCTGCTTTTCACTGGGGGGATGCTGTATCATCTGCCAAGTCTTTTGCTTTCGTTGTGAGTGATTTTCGTGTGCAAGTTCGGTACTAGTCCCTCTAGGATTTTCCAGGTGTATATAATTATGCATCTCTCCCACCTGCGTTCCAGGGAGTACAAGTTCAGGAAATTCAAGCACTCCCAGGAATTGAAGTGTTTTATCTCCGTTATGCGAGCCGTGAAGGTTCTCTGTACATTTTCTAGGTCAACAATTTCACCTGCCTTGAAAGGTGCTGTTAGTGTGTCAGAGTGTCATCATGGGCTTGGCATCCCTAGTTTTGAAGGTTCTCATTATCCATTCTGTCATTTTTCTAGCAGATGCGATTGATACAATGTTATGGTCCTCGAAGGCGAGATCCTCCGACATGATCACTCCCGGAATTTGACCTTGGTTTTTCGCTCTATTTTGTGGAAGGAATTTATTTTGTACTCTGTCTCACTGGTAATGTGTACTTCTGGTCACATGATGAGTATACCTGGAAAGAATTCCAGGGGTCAATGCCCTCGTGGCCCAGTCTGTGACCAGGTCTCATGGTGGATCAGGGCCTGATCAACCAGGCTGTTACTGCTGGCCGCATGTAATCCAATGTGCGAACCACAGCCTGGCTGGTCAGGTACCGACTTTAGGTGCCTGCTTGAAGACAGCCAGGGGTCTATTGGTAATCCCCCTGATGTATGCTGAGAGGCAGTTGAACAGTCTTGGGCCCCTGACACTTATTGTGTTGTCTCTTATCGTGCTAGTGGCACTCCTGCTTTTCATTGGGGAGATGTTGCACCATCTGCCGAGTCTACTGCTTTCATAGGGAGTGATTTTTATATGCAAGTTTGGTGAGAGTTCAAATCTCACACTGTCTCTTCTCAATCTAAATGTTTTATAAAACTGATTAAGAAAGAGTTAGAAAAACAAGCTGTCAACACCAGGAATATATGCTAATGCCATTTAGCCAATAATTTTAGAGGACAAACAATAAAAAACACTAGGAGTCACCACTTACGGAACAGCTAGTGAACTCCCATTGCAGTTCCACCTTTGGATAGAAATGAGTGCATATGAGTAGCACCTGCCTATCATGGCCAGTACAGGTCAGCCATCACTAATCTGGCATCACTGGGACCTGTAGTGTGCCGGATTAGTGAGCTTGCCGGATTACAGAGTGGTTAGGTTAGAATACACTTAAATTCAAGTTCAAATTTATTTATTTCTTTGCAAGTAATACATTGCAGTTATGCATTTACAATTATGGGTTGCAGTGCAGAGAGAGCTATTATGCTTAGGCATTATGGGCCGACTTAATTTAATGGCTTACTGACTACTTAACATTAAAGAAATTTATCATAGTGATACAATAGTTCTAATGGTTATAAATGAATCTAATTTATATAAACCAAACAATATATTCATATTTTCAAAAATGCTTTTTAAGAAGCATAATTAACTTAATTTAGACTGCTACATCTTCCTCATTTTCATCACTGCTTTCTCCTTCACTGGCTTGCTGCTATGAACAAAGTTTAAATTGTAAGGGGTGCAAGGTTAGAGCAAAAATTTTATAGGGGTGCGGGAGTAAGAAAAGGTTGGGAACCACTGCTCTAGAATGAATAAAATGTCATTATGTGACAAGTGGTGGCGGCCATTCCCTGCCTCAAGTGGCTGCCTTGTTGTGGGTCAGCGGGGGAGACCTCCAGCCATCCCCGACACCACCATCCCAGCTTACATGTTCAGTTCTACTTCTCTCCTACACGCTAGCTGTGTTTGCGAATTGTGTTTTGATCTTTTAATTATAATATCTTATATCTGCCAAGCAATCGTGACACCCAGTAGGCATACCAGTGTCGCAGAATGACTTACTTGACTGACTGACTTACTGATTGACTGACTGAATGACTTAAAGTTTGACTTTTTCACTGAAAAGAACCCTGAAATGGTGTCTAGAGCAGCTGATGCCTTACTATCAGTTGTATAATGTACTGCAGGGTAAAACAGAACAAAAATCCATTACAGAATTTATGCACACTCCAGTACAACCATCAACTTCAGTACCAGAACCTCTACCATCCACCTCAGCCCAGTAAGGCCACAGCATAACTCTCCACTTTCCTCACAATCATCGACAAACACCAGCACCCACAATTTAAGGTAAGAAATACTATTATTTCTATTGCAGTTATAGTCTTCAGCAGTAAAAACAACATGACAATGAACTACAATTATGTATTCACTTTTACTTTTGTAAGATCTGGAGGTCTAAAAAAAAAAAAAAAGCTGTTTGAGGGGGAAGCTCGCATCCTGAATTTCTGCTTGTATCCAGAAACAAAAAATTGACCGAGCAACTCCTCATATCCTGAAAAACTCGTATGGTGGGGCATTCGTAAGCCAAGGTTCCACTGTACTTGGTTTAATAGAATGTAATTTGTTATGTAGCAGATCAGACCAACGTAGTTTCCAACAGGTGCAAAGGTGGGTAGCAATTACAGCAAAATAGTCTGTGAATGGAACACCTCTATATGAAACTGGGAGGTCATATACTGCTGATCGCCTGTTCATTGCCCTGTATGTTAACATGACTGGGAACCCAACAAAAAATAATATCTTTGTGCTTGCTAGAGATACGGCGTAACCAAAGTTGGATACGAAGAACCAGGGGATGAGGTGTATCAAATTTTCTTATAGCCTGTAAAGCACTAAGAGAGTCTGAAACTACCACAAATGGTGATACAGACATAGATGCAATACAGATAAGTGCTATGAGAATAGCATACAATTCAGCTGTAAAAATGCTAGCAGAGGATAATAAATGCCTTTGCACAACACTGTCCAGAAACAGTGCTGCTACTCCAATGCCGTCAGAAGACTTGGAATCATTGATGTACACTGCAATGGCATGAGAATGAGATCAGAAGTGGTTAAGAAAAAGTGAGCGAGAAGCCACCGTAGGCAGTTGGGTTTTCGCGCATGGCAGTGGGAAAGAACAGACACGAACCATCAGAACTTCCCAAGGGAGTAGGGAAAAGTGAGATGCTACATGAACATAGAAAGGTGGTAACTGAAGAGAAGACAAGAGCAAATGTCGGCGAAGAGAAAAGGGACGGAGTAAACAGGGGCGACGAACAAATAAAGAATGTCTACTAACAACAGTGACTATCCTATATATGGGAGGATTGCAGAGGTCATGAGAGCAAACATAATAATGAAAGCAATGAGCATCACAGCAATCGGTCAAGGATGGAATATTTGCCTCTGCATAGAGGCTCTCAACCAGTGAAGAGCAAAAAGCACCGAGGCATAAACATAATCCCTGGTGATGGATGGGATTAAGGCTAGAGAGAGTTGCAGGAGAGGCAGCTAAACATATCTAGTCGCCACAATGATGTTTCGATAAAATTAGGGCTGAATGTAGTCAAAGGAGAATTCTACAATCAACCCCCCATGAAAGATGAGTGAAGGTTTTAAGAAGGTTCAGCTGGTTATGACAAGTTGCCTTCAGAGAGGTAATGTGAGGTTTCCAAGATAACCTATGGTCAAACAGAAGGCCAAGAAACCTGACCGTATCATGTTCTGGGATACGTGAGCCATATAGATACATTGGATGATCAGAGACCACAGAACGTCTAGAGAGTAATTTGGCGAGTTTTAGTACTAGAAAATTTAAACCCATAAGCAGTGGCCCAATTGGAAACACAGTTGACTGCATGATGGAGAGAAACTGCAATGAGGTGACAGTTAGCGTCTGCACAAGCTATAGCAAAGTCATCAACACAGAGTGATGACCAAATACTGGATGGAAGAATAGAGGCCAGATCATTTATAGCATGGAGAAAAAGTGTTGTGCTCAGAACACATCCCTGGGGGACACCTTCAGCGTGGACAAAGTCGGGGGAAAACATATTAACCCGAACACGGAAATCTCTCTCAGTTAACCCTTAAACGGTCCAAACAGATCGACGTTCAAATTCGGATTGCTACAAAAGTAGATCTACTTTTTTTTTACTTGTTTTTAAATATAAAAAAAAAAATGTAGATAAAAGTTTTTTTACACTTTTTCAAATGTAAAACAAAAAAGAAGATCTACTTTTTTTATATACTTTCAGATGTTGAAAAAACGTATATATAAGTTTGGACCATTTAAGGGTTAAGAAGTTCTTAAGGAAAAATGGTAGATTGCCTTGGAGGCCTAAGGAGTGGGCCTGGGCCAAGATATTATACCTCTAAGTTGTGTCATATGCCTTCTCAAGGCCAAAAAAGATGGCAATAACAGAGTGGTTATTAGCAAAGGCATTACAAACATACGTATCCAAGTGTAGTAAGGGGTCGTGGTTGAGCGGCTCTTACGAAAGCCATACTGACTAGTGGAAAGACTATTTGTGTCTCTAAATACCACATCAAATATCTATTTACCAGACATTCCATCACCTTGCAAACTGCACTGGTAAGAGCAATGGGACAATAGTGGGAGGCATCATGTCCCGTAGTACCCGGTTTGCAGAAAGGGAGAACACTGGCAGATTTCCACAGGTGGGGAAGAATTCCTTGCGACCAAATAAGATTAAAGAGTCGTAAGAGGACAGCAAGGGCTGACTGATGTAAATGCTGTAGCATACAAATATAAATGCCATCAGGCCTAGCTGCCGATGATCAGCAAACGGAGAGTGTTGCCTCCAGTTCCAGAAGTGTAAAAGGCACATTATAAGATTCTTCTCTGATAGAAGAAAAGTTTAAGGGCTCTAACTCTCTGGCAGGATGGGATGGGATAGAGAAGGGGGATTGGGGGGTAATTAGGCTCGGTCTGAGGAAGATCAAAAGGTCTAATTCCTCAGACCAAGAGCCTCTTCACTGTGCCAAGGAGCCCCCCTTGAAGAGGATGGCAGTCTGGTCCTGGTCTTGGTATGGTGCATATTGTATGTAATCATCATTATAATGCCCACAAGATGTAAGAAAAGTTTCAAGTATCACTCATAACTCTTGCAGACACAACCAACAAACCCAATCTGCATGTCACACTTTCCATCAAATGCATACTGGGGGTGTAATCCATGACAGCAGCTGGTCTCAGAATGGGTTCATTGGTGTCTCTATTCACCTTTCATTTTGTGCTGCTGGTGGACCAATGCCAACGATGTCACATTACATCTGTCATGCCACTGAAATGCCATGATGTTACTGACATGAAACACCTGTATCTCACCAGTAACAACACCTGCTGAGCCTTCCATTTTGAATTCTTAATTACACAAAAATAAAAGTTACTCTATTTCTCAGATAATAAAAATATAACCAAGAATAGTTGGTTATGGTTTATGGTGTCCCAACAATTGAATCTGATCTATTAAAAGCCATAGAACAGACTGGGGGTGTAGGAAGGCCTTACCCATTCTCAGGAATATCAGGAAAATCAAATATTCTTGCTACTTTGAACACAATTTCAAACTACTTCCAGTATTGAAACCAGTGAAAATTATCTCTATTTCAGTATTATCTTCCATTTTATTAATACAAGAAACAGCTTATAAAACCATAAAAACCATCCAAGAAAACACCTCAAAAGTAGCTATTTTAAATCATCTATACAGTCAGTTTTGCTTTTCTTAATATGCACCAGGTGGGGCAGGATTTTTTTTTTTTGTACTGTGAACACTCATCACACTGACCCATTCTCTCATATCTGGGCCATAAGTTAATGCTCACAGCTTATATGAGTGAGCCGAGTTCATGGTGTAGAACTTATGCAAGCAACCATGGCCTCACTGACAGTTCTCCCTAACAGCCAATGAAAGGGTTAATAACAATTTTCCCCTCATTTTCTGTCTACAGTTGTTAACAGAACACGGTGGTGTATGTATTGATTCTGTATTTCGCGCCTTATTAGATGCATTTTTTTCCATAAAATGTCTCCAAAAACCACCCTGCATCCTATAAGTCTGGGGTGTGGAGTGGGCTGTAGCTCTCCCAGTTACGTCTCATGCCGAGCCATGGAAACTAAAAGAAGTCTTATAAGCCGTGAAATAATGTACATTTATTTTCTACGCCTTAATTAAAAACACTTCAACATGAGGTTTCTGTGATATATGTGTAAATCACTATTTTTGGAGGCTTTAGTCTGGTATGTTGTGGAAGTTCAAGGTTAGGTGAAATGTGTAGTAATATGTGAAGGTTTAAAGTGTGATGGCATGTGATGGATAGCAGCTCACACTCAGCATGCCAGAGTTACATTTTACTGTAAATAACTTGATAAAGTGCCTATTTGTAGAATATAAAGATGTAAAATAGCTGAAGGAATATGCTGTTTGCTTTGGTGTTGACTGAGCCACACATAAGCTCCTTGGCCACTTGTCCCTTAAACTGGCATCTGCAATATTAGGATCATATGACCCCTGGGTCATCATGACTAATACCCAACATTACACAATTGCCAACAGTGGCCAAAGACTTTGTTTTTATGGTGTTAAAAATGGAGCTACCTGCCTTTCCTTGAATCAAGACTAATTATTCCTAACCTTCCCCATTTTCCTGGTGATGTAATATTCTAAAAGGTTTAGTGCTTCTCCATAATAATAATAATAGTGTTAAAGGAGTTGTTTTTATTTTCCTTTGGAATATTTTTGCTATGGGCCACAAAACACACATGACAGAAATTATGGTAGTTGGTCTTATATTTTCACCTTGTTTAGGTCGAGTTCCAACTCTTGGGTCTATTGAGTGTATTGATCTGTAGTTTCTGGGTCTTTTGGCTACAGGTGCTAGACCTCTTGTATTTGTTAAGCTAAAGTTTCTGGGCCTGTTAAGGGTGATGTCTTCAGCTCATGGATGTCTTGGGAGGGTAGAATTAGTACTCCTTTTTGTCTTGAAGATGTACAGCTGCAGCTCCTCTGTTTCTTAAATATTTTGATGTACAGCAACATCTCTCACATGCAGAAATACAGATGAGAAGGGAGGGCGGAGAATTATGGGATACCTTTCCCCAGTCGCAGTGAGCAACAAACATCTAGTCTGTATCATATATTCTGCCATGTCTCAGGTTACTCTTATTAGGCTGAGTCACAATTTTTTAAAAAAATAGTGAAATTAAAAAGTTCTCAATGCTAATGTAATTAAAAAGATCAAAAAAAAAAAACAGAACAACTAAGTCATTAAATGTCAAGCTAAATGCACACAAAAAAATCTATGCTTAAATGCTTTAAAAGCTTCATATAATTATCACGAGCATTTAAGCTATCTCTTTAAAAGGTGTGTGTGCAAAAAAAGAAAAAAAAAAAGACAGCCAACATACCTTAAAAGCTCTGTGTGCTCTTAAAACAGTAGAGCAGAAAATAAACCTCAGCGTCAACAGTCTTAGGAAGTCGTCACCAAAAAACTGAAGAAAAGATGGATCTGGAAAGCACAAAATTACAAACTTAAATGATCCACACAGTAGATCAACTTGGAGCTTAACACAACACTACTGTGTGTCCTGACCAACTTAAAAATACAATGTAAAACTATATCCATACAAATACTTAAGAAAACAGATGATACTAAACAGAATACATGCTGTAAACAACTTACCAGATAATACTGTAAATAACTTACCAGGACAATACTGCAAACAACTTACCAGACACAACAGAGAATAACTGGCTGATAGGAGGAAAAGACAATATCCATTCAAGATCATCAAAGGATATGAAAGAAATAACAATGAAGACTTCCTAACTCAATTAACCTTTTTTCAGATTTTCGGACGTACTAGTACGGCTTACACACCAGGGTTTTTGACGTACTAGTACGCCTAAATTCTAGCGCCCTCAAATCTAGTGAGAGAAAGCTGGTAGGCCTACATATGAAAGAATGGGTCTATGTGGTCAGTGTGCAGTATAAAAAAAATCCTGCAGCACAGTGCGTAATGAGAAAAAAAAACTTTGACCGTGTTTTTGGATTAAAACAGCGACTTTGCACTGTATTTTCGTATGGTATTTATTGTTGTATTCTAGTTTTCCTGGTCTCATTTTATAGAATGGAAGACATATTACAGAAATTGAGATGATTTTGACTGGTTTTACGATGAAAAGTACCTTGAAATTGAGCTCAAAGTAGCAGAAATGTTTGATTTTTACCAAAGTTCAAAAGTAAACAAATCATGCTAAGTGTCCAATACACGTCAACTGGTGAGTCTAATATTCTTTCAGAAGTGCGCCAATATTATTTATACCATTTCTACACTAATGCAGTAGTCTGCATAACAGTAAATATTCTATTTTTTGTGAGAATAAAAATTCAAAGTGGAAAGCAAAAGAATATAAGAGGGGCGTGGGGATGTGACTAATGAACAGAGGAAATGTTATTTTATTGCCAGGTACGTCTTTCTTGTTTATTCTGGACCCTATTTGGAAATTGTCATCTTTTGAAGTTTGTGTGAAATTGGCTGAATTGCTAAATTCTGACCACTGTATTGGATAGATGGAATTGGTAAATGGGTAGTTTCTTGTACTCATTTGATAGAAAAAATGGAGTTCTAGTGAAATAGTTATGATTTCTGTCGGCTAGTATGTTGGAATTGGCCGAAAATAGGGCTCAAAGTGGGCAAAATCGCCGATTCGTAAACATTGTCGAGACCGCTAACTTCGTGAGAGCATAATTCCACAAGTTTTCCATCAAATTTCATACTTTTGGTGCCATTATGATTGGGAAAATATTCTCTATCTCTTCATGAGAAAAAATAATTTTTTTTTTTGAAATTTGGGCAACCCTGAGAACAAGTCTGGGAGAGGGCCTGGGGACCCTGAAAGGGTTAACTAAGAAGCAATAAAATGGAGAGAAGGAATTGCTAAAAGGACACTAGCATTAATGTCAGAGGTAGAGTGGTGGATCAATCAATGGTTGACAAGAGATAGCAAGTGCTACCTCTTGTCAGCCAATGTTACAAAATGTGATATCTATAAAGTATAGACATCTCCAGAGAATATTAGGTGGTCAACCCATTGATCCCCCTCTAGCATCTAGCCTGTTTCTAGTGTTGTAACAGTCTGTCATAAAGTATTCTAATCTAGTTATCCTTTAAAATTAAGGTAAAATTAATAGAGCTTTAAGATTGCAACTGATAGGATACTAATGAAATAAAAATTGATGTTTATTAAAAACAAAGTTGTCTAGGTGGACAAAATCGAAGTATGTTTTTTTTATTTTATTATCACACTGGCCGATTCCCACCAAGGCAGGGTGGCCCGAAAAAGAAAAACTTTCACCATCATTCACTCCATCACTGTCTTGCCAGAAGGGTGCTTTACACTACAGTTTTTAAACTGTAACATTAACACCCCTCCTTCAGAGTGCAGGCACTGTACTTCCCATCTCCAGGACTCAAGTCCGGCCTGCCGGTTTCCCTGAACCCCTTCATAAATGTTACTTTGCTCACACTCCAACAGCACGTCAAGTATTAAAAACCATTCGTCTCCATTCACTCCTATCAAACACACTCACGCACGCCTGCTGGAAGTCCAAGCCCCTCTCACACAAAACCTCCTTTACCCCCTCCCTCCAACCTTTCCTAGGCCGACCCCTACCCCGCCTTCCTTCCACTACAGACTGATACACTCTTGAAGTCATTCTGTTTCGCTCCATTCTCTCTACATGTCCGAACCACCTCAACAACCCTTCCTCAGCCCTCTGGACAACAGTTTTGGTAATCCCACACTTCCTCCTAACTTCCAAACTACGAATTCTCTGCATTATATTCACACCACACATTGCCCTCAGACATGACATCTCCACTGCCTCCAGCCTTCTCCTCGCTGCAACATTCATCACCCATGCTTCACACCCATATAAGAGTGTTGGTAAAACTATACTCTCATACATTCCCCTCTTTGCCTCCAAGGACAAAGTTCTTTGTCTC